ATTTTTCAAATTTTACAACAACTGACAGACAAAGATTCAAATAGCGTACAGTGAACTGTAATCGAGTAATCAGAAATAACTTTTTCTGAAGACCTTTCTTTATAAGGTATCAACGTGCCAAAATTGTTTCGTCAAGTTGATAGTTATATTAAGAAGTTTACAAAGTACATTTACTTAAAATAGGTGTAAAACTTACTGTGATTTAATGTGAGCGACAGATTGATATTACAAATGCAATAACAGTGTAATGGGTGAACATTCCATAATGCAGCTTAAAGGTTTTTTTTTTCCATAACAAATCCACTAAAAATAAACTGATGCATATATAATTAATTGATTATTTTTTTTTTAAGATGTAATATTTTTATGCAAATATTTTTATTCAGAATATCATTGAAAGCTTAAAAAAAAAAAAAGAACAAGAAATACAGAAAGAATTTGTGATTTATTATGGTAAAACTTGTCATGAAACTTTGTTTCGTTTTTGTTTTTAATTCAATAGTTTTTTTTTTTTATCAAAACTGTTATCAGAAAAAAATCTTAAAGTTTTTTTTAACACTGTATTATTGCTTTGCCTGGTAATAATTTGCTTTTTATAAGGTAAATTTTTTTTTTGCTGCTCAAAAATAGAGAGGATATAAGAGAGTGTGCTAATAGTTTGAAAGCTGAAAGTTCTGAAGTTTCAAGGGTTTTTTTTTTCAGCTTCTTGAAAGCATTCATTATCATTGTAAAAGTCAAATGATCAATTTTGAGTTTCATCTTTTGGTAAACAAAAAATTACCTTGAAATCAGTGCAACTAAAGCAATAATTTTATAATGGTAACTTCGATTGCACAGTGTGATATTCCGTAACAGTATTCAAACAAAAAATTTAAGTCATAAAACTTGGTATCAAGTAATAAAAGCTCAAAAAAAAAAAAATTATGAAAAGTTTTGTAAATTACAAAAAAATTTTAAGTTGAAATTTTAGATGTACATTAAACGACGTTTATCTTTTTTTTTTCAGCAGCTGCAGATCAACAATTGAACAGTTTAGCACAAAATTTTGTTGGTAAATGGGAGTTGGAAAAGTCAGAAAATTTTGACGCATATTTGAAGGTAGGCTTTCTATTTTATTTTTGCAGTTTTTTTTTAGCACTTTTATGTATCTGAATAATTTTTTTTTTTTTGGAATTTACTCACTTATTTGGTTACTTATTTGCTGTGTGTGTGTGCTTTTTTTTTTTTGGTTTATTTTGAAATAAAAACTATCAGTTGAAACAGTTTTAGGAACTTGGAATAAATTATTTTTTACGTTTATTAAGCCGTGCAATTCGTAACACTTTGGACATCAGTCTTGTGGTATGTGTTTTTTTTTTTGTTTTCGGATTTTCGGAGAAGGAAATAGCACAAAAAAAAAAATTCACTGACTGTTTTTCGTTTATTATCCATTTTTTTTTCAGTTTATTTAACATTTTTTTTCAAAAAGAATTCTTAAAGAATAATATTTTTTTTGTAAAAAGAAAACAAATACTGTACAGCGATAATAATGATAACTGATTAGGGTTTAACTACTGAATACAACGTTGTTATGCCATTTAAAGTTACAGCTGAACACAGTGTGTCATAAATTTACGTCAAGAAAATAGCTGATATAAAAATTTTTTTGTATTTAGACTTTTTTTTTGTTTTATTAAAAAAATATTGAAACGATAAGAGGTTTTTTTAATAAATTATTTTTCAGTTTCCAAATACTGCAAAGTATCATTGTTTAGTTTGTCAACGATAAAATAAAAATTCAGTTCAATGCCTGATTTTGGGTATGATACAAGCAAATGGTTTCAGATTATGCTTTTTGTGTTATCAGTTTATAGAACAATGATAAGACCCAAAAAAAACTTCTATTATTATTATTATTATTATTATTATTATTATTA